AAAACTCTTCTTCCAAGTATTAAATACTTTATACTGTACTTTTATCCTTTTATACTATATTTTTTACCTACTGTAGACCTCTAAGTACTAAATGTTTTATTACTATACTCCCACCGTTTCATGCATACACTTCCACCTACTGTACTCTTCAAAGTACGAAAACTCTTCTTTCACTTATTAAATGCTTCATACTGTACTCTTATCCTTTCATACTGTACTTCCACCTACTGTACTCTTTCAAGTACTAAATGGTTCGTACATGTAACTCTCCCATATCACAATCTTCTCGTATTTTATTCTCTTTTTTCCTTGACAAAGTTTTTGAGGGATCATCTTCAATTTCAATATAGTGAATGTTAGAACGATCCGTTTAAATATGATATGATCAAGCTTGTCATCTTCTACCATCCTAATTATTTTCTTTAATGATATTAGTCACTTCATGATGACAAATGACAATTATCTTTTTCTTCAAAAGTTTTGATGAAAAATTTGACAATAGTGAAATATGCAAATGTTTTGCGATTAATTGAATATTTGATTATTTTCAAAAAAAAAAAAAACATCATTACCGTTGACAATATTACTACAATGAATCATTACCTCAACCAGTTTTCCAAATTTTTTTTTTCGTGAAATTTCACAAAAAAAGTAAAAATAAAAATTATCATATTAATGATAACGACGTTTTTGTTTTTATCACTGATAATGCATCTTCTTTTCCTGTTAAGGAAAAAAAAACTATTCATTGTTAATGGAATTTGTTATATTTGAATAGTTTTAAAAAACTTTTCCTTCAATTTGATGCTTCTAATTAATTAGCAATTGACAGTATCATAATTTCAACTTTTTAGATTATAAATAAGTTATCAATGAGGAAAAGATATGTTATCAAATAATCCAATTTTTTTATCAGAACTTATCACCTTTCTTTTTTTTAAGTGAAAAAAGAAGGTTAAAAAAAAGAACGAATGAATCTTACATTATTCAGTTATTTGCAAAATGATAACATTTAATGTTTAAAAATTTGATAGTAATGGATTTTTGGGATAGTTCATTTCGGATGTTCCGAAAGTTTTATATTTTTCAAAAAAAAAAAAGGAAGGAAAAAAACTCATCTATTTAATCGAAAGATGAAAGCATTCATTGGAATGTATTTAATTACTAATCCAACATTACTTTATTTTTATTTAAATTGGCAATTTTTTTCAAAGGACTATTTAAGAATACAAAAAAAAAATCATTGAAACGAATTTTAAAAGCATAAAATAAAATATCATCTTTTATTTTTTTAATTTATAAAATTTCCGGATAATTAACCTTAAAATTTATTGATATTTCCAATATGATATAACAAGTTTGCATTGAAAATCTTTCTGATATTTTGGAAAAATTTTGTCACCATTTCATTTGTCATTTTTGTCATTTTTTTTGACATACCTTTCATTAAGTGTAATAATTAGTCCTATAAAATAGGGAAATGATATTGATGGATGGTAGTCTCTTCCCAGAAGCCTGTTTACCTGTTTTTTTTTTTTTAG